GGGGGGGGGTGTGTGACAGCTGAGGGGTTGGTCTAGTCCAGGGCCGCAGCTAGGGCAGGTGCTGTGGAAAGAGGAGCTGGGCCGAGCTCTCTACATCTCCTAGGGGAAAACCAGGAACCCCCCTGGGAAGAGGTCAGGGAGGCAGGGGGCCGAGGCACCTTTTCCACGCGGGACGAAGCGCCTGGTCAGCGCAGCCTGCTGCCCCGGGAGCAAAGCCCTGCGCTGGGAGGAGCGAACGGGCGCTGGGAGCGTTGCTGGCAGGAAGCTTGCGCGGCCCCCCTGGTTTGCTGGGCGCGCGCCGGGGCTCGGCTCTCGCGCGGGCGGGAGCCGTTGCCCTGCGGGAGCCTTTGACCGCTCTCCACGTGAAGGCACCCTGTTCGGATGGCTCGCTTGAGACCAAAAACTGGCCCGCTGACTCTTTCCTTGTTACAGCAATTCATGGCCAGAGCAGCGTGGCCGTCTGCCTTAGCATCCTGTTGGTTTTAAAACATTTCTGCCTTGCCGGACTGAGCGCGTGAATCACTTTCCCCTTCTGCTGATTGAACACTGAGCAGTCGCACTTGTTGCTCTCCAGCAGAGGTTTCCTTTCCACGTCGATAAAACCCAAGCCCATGAGCTAGTCTGAGTTTTGAACCGTTTCTGCCCTTGCCGCATGCCCCTGCAGCCACAGGGCCGGGAACGGCGGCGCCCTTGGGCAGTTCCAGGTTTATTAGTTCAGCCCCGTGCAGTCAGGCTAAATGGGAGCAGCAAAAGCAAGAAAGGTGATGCCAGAAGTGGTTCTGGCCACATGGGGAGCTTCGTGCTGCTCATCGTGAAGGAGGTTTTTGGGCCCTTCACCTACTTTCTGAGGTAAAGGCGGAAACGTTCTGCCCTCATTGCGAGACGGGAGAGATGCTAATCCGGGTAGCGGTCTCAAACTGTCTGTCTGGCGGTGCTTCCCTGGGCTATGTAATTGGGGTGTTTTAAGTTAGGCGGAGCTGTATTGGTATGAACATTGCACGGTGCTTTCATTTGCGTGTGGGGCGGGGGGATATTTAGTAACCGTAGTGCCTTCGGCTCTCCTGCCTTGTCCGAAATGCATATCCGTGCCACTTGTGTAGAAATGCACCTATTTTCTATGTCCGCAGTACCGAACGAGACATGCTGGAGAGCTGGGTGTGCGTTTTGTCTTCATCTCTGCCCATGCCTTGGGCCCCTGAGCTCTTCCTGACGGTTTTGGTGTTCCAGGCAGATAACAGGCCGCATTTCTGCCTCCTGTTATGCGGCGCAGCTGGTGCAAAACATTTGCAGTTGAAACTTGTAGGGGTGCTGTTTTTATTTCTTCTACTGTTGATGTTTGCCACTTGCAGAAAAAGAAGAATTAAAAAAAAAATTCAATCAAAAACCTGTGCAGCAAAAATAACTGACACAGATGCAAGATATGACTCTGACTCCTGTTCCTGCTG